AAAAAAAAAAAAACCCTACAAGCTAAAATATTATTATGTAATGACGCTAAACTGTAATTGGCCCTAGAAGTCAATAGCCCCTGCTGGGAGTAATTTCACCTTCTATTTATATAAAGCATCCTTCTCCATTGAGAGCCATTCAAAATTGTATATGTATTCTAAACTTTTTGCAACATATATTTGTTACTTTTTACAATTTATTATATTGGATGTTTTACTAGGGCCAGTTTTTTTTGGAGTGCTCTTAAATGTGTGAAATGGACTTCCCTTATACACTACCATTCAAAATGTTTTTGAAAGAAGTCACATATGTTCACCAAGGCTGCATTTATTTAATCTTGAAAATAAGTTAAAAAAGCGATATTGTGAAATATTATCAAAATTTAAAATAACTGTTTTCAATTTTATTCTTTAATTATATTATGTAAATAATTCCTGTGATGCAAAGCTGAATTTTCAGCGTCATTACTCCAGTCTGAAGTGTCACATGACCCTTCAGAAATCATGTAATATGATCATTTGGTGCCGAAACATTTCTTATTATTATCAAAGTTGAAAATGGTTGTGCAACTTAATATTTTTGTGGAAACTGTCATAGAAAGTTTAAAAGAACAGCATGTATTTAAAATAGGATCTTTTGTAAGATTATGAAAGTCTTTACTCCCACTTTTGATCAACTGAATACAAGTATTAGTTTCTTTAAAAAAAAATCTTACTGACCCCAAACTTTTAAACAGTGTATTTGACCTTATTTATTGATTGATTGATTGCTGTGAAATAAGTGGGAAATATACAGTATTTATCTAGTGGTAATAATATGATTGTTTTATAATGTGCTTTGTAACTTTGGAAATCCTTGTTATAAATTTCTGGTTTTGCTCTCTTCTTCTTCTTTGGGTGATGAAGAGTTCATTCAGGTCTGTTTGTCAGTGTTGGCCATACCGCTTATTGTACATTGTGACTTTTATTGAAAAGTGTTCACTATTCCTTCCAAGAGTGTTTGTCCAGATTTACCCAGTTCAGGTCAGATATTCTTCAGTCAGTACCTTCCAAAAAGTACCTTAAAATCATTGACAAATGGGCAGTAATCTTGGCAATGATTTCAATATTTTTGACCAAAACTCTTTTGTAAAACATTTTGTAATTTAGAACCTTTATAATTTAAACCTTATAACTTTTGGTATTCATAGTTCATCACAACGGTGGTGTGATGGGCTTATGATTTCCCCCCGATAATTATTCTATTCTATTCT